TTTTTTTTTTTTTTTTTTTTTTTTTTTAACAACAAAATTAAGTAAATTGATCTTAACAAAGAGTTGTTCCACTCACTAAATATTATTCTGGTTCTTAATGATATATATGATATGACATTATTAACACTAGAACTACCAAAGAATAAAGCATAGAATTTTCATCAGAGATATTAAAGTGAAAAAAATAGAAATACAATAGAATACACTTTAGAAAACTTTTATTCGTGTATTTTATAAAAAATCATTTGAACCTTTAAAAATACACTATTTTGCATCTGTAATATATCTAAAAAAAATTATGAATTTGTCATTTTGACCATTTCGATAGTTCTAGTGTTAATGATATATATGACATGATACTATTGATGATATTATTAACACTAGAACTGCCAAGGATTAAAGCATAGAATTTTCATCACAGATATATTAAACACATATTAAAATGAAAAAAATAGAAATACAATTGTATACACTTTAGGAAACTTTTATTCGTGTATTTTATAAAAAAATCACTTGAACCTATAAAAATACACTATTTTGCATCTGTAATATATCTAAAAAAAATTATGAATTGGTCATTTTGACTACTCCGGTAGTTCTATATGATATATTATCGATGATATTATTAATGACATATATGATATGATATTATTGATGATATTATTAATGACATATATGATATGACATTATTGATGATATTATTAATGACATATATGATATGACATTATTGATGATATTATTAATGACATATATGATATGACATTATTGATGATATTATTAATGACATATATGATATGACATTATTGATGATATTATTAATGACATATATGATATGACATTATTGATGATATTATTAATGACATATATGATATGACATTATTGATGATATTAATGATATATATGATATGACATTATTGATGATATTAATGATATATATGATATGATATTATTGATGATATTATTAATGATATATATGATGATATTATTGATAATATTATTGACGATATTATTAATGATATATATGGTATGATATTATTGATAATATTATTAATGATATATATGATATGATATAATACATATCTAAAATTTAGAGCTTTCTAGAAAAATTTATCCTTTCAAATTCCCCGTTATTCCACATTACGTAACATTGTAATTTATATATACCTATATGTATACCTCTAATTCGTATTTTCCACTGATGCATCTAACTTCTAAGAACACTAACAAAATCTTGGTCCGTCTATTAAACTATTTCTCATTCGCAAGAAGGTGGTCAAAGGCAATC